ATTGTCGCGATACCAATAAGACTTGGAAAGCATAACGAGAGTCAGAGACGCGTCGAGAACGATTGAGAGGGTACTTTGATAAATACCGATACTGACTCGATTTTTGTGTGATAATCTTAGGGCACAAACTAATTGTTACTTCTGTAATTCTGCTTTACACTAGCGCATAACAATTCTTTCATGGATACGTGTTGCATTGTAATCATTAATATGTAGATATTGTTGAAGCATCCGAAAGATAACAAGACAGACGTGACTCGTTGACAATATATTGAGTTGAGAAGATCTTCAGTTTAGAAAGCATTTTCTAATTGTGATAGGAACAATAAGTTCAGAGGAATGAAATTTTTCAAGTGGCAAGGAGGAGAGATACTTTCTCGCGTGAAAGTTGGGCGTAGCGTTGTTGCGATCATTTCTTTTCCTTTGAGGTGGAATTCTCTGACAGTGTAAGTTCCTTTCGTCGTCTTGCCATCCCCTTTTTATTTTACTGGGGCTGTGCAACCGTGTGTAATGATTGCTGGTAAATAATAATGTGTATTCTGTGCCTTAACGTCTTTGTCTCAATGTGTATGCGTGCAAGGATTCGAATGTTTGATCGGAGTGCATGCTGAGAAGAGTTAATCAATAATAATCAGTACATTGAAAGGTGCAATAAATCTCTGAGGAGGTCAGCGTTGCAAAAAATGAATTACATTGTTGACGTGACAGATTTTTGATTGCGTACACCATACATAGTTTACGTGGAAACTTGAGTTGTCATTCTGAGGGGAGCAGAAATGTATTCAGGAGTTATATAAGTCGTTCAATAAGAGCTTAAGTCACACATCTTCTTACGTTACCTTAACACTGTAATTCATTTTTTCAATAAAATATTTTCCACTGATTTACAACCTCTCAAGATTCATATTTATTATTGCGAATGGCCCGTTAATGAATTTATTGTACAGATCAGGTTTATCTATGATACGCTTTTTGTAATGACAAGGAAAACGTGGAGAAGTCTTTCAAATAGCTGGAAAAATTTACCCTGTTGTTACACTGGAATCTCTTATTAGTAACTTATATTTCCAATGAATTTCGTTATTCGTGTACACTGAATTTTTCTCTTTCTCGACTGAGCACTTTGGCTCGAGCAAAGTGCTAGACTGGAAAATAATTATAGCATTTCTATAGGAAACAATAAGTAAACTGGTTACGCGTTGCGATTGTAGTTATTGTACATATTGAATAAGTAACGATAAGGATTTTCTGTTGCTAACAGGTGTTATTCAATACAATACAATGTATTCTTATATATTCTCAGGCCCTCTCCGATAATTCGTAAGCTAAGCAATTAATTTTTCATTCAGTCTCTTCGAGAAAGTTACTGACCTCGTGAAAGTGAATCAAAATTTTTTGCCCTACTCATGAAGTTACATTCACATTGTTAACGCAAATAAGGGTGCGAGTAAACGTGAAATTTAATAAGTTACCCGTGTGTGGTCGTCGAATAAAATTTTTATAAATGTATAGAATATTCTATGTGATCAGAGAACACAAAACAGGCTATTGACAAACAGGCGGAAATACTTTATGTTTGATCGTATATAGAAAATATACACAGTAACAAATCAAATCTCTCAATGAAACATTCTACCACTTTCTGCATTGATATTTACATTAACTGTGGTTCATCGTGGACAGGTGATTGTTTCAACAAGAAGAAAGTATCTATTACCGGTATAAATTAAAAGTCGATATTTAGCGTGTACATTGATTACATGTAAAATAACGTTTCCCTTTCTTAGGAAAAAGATTCTGGGTAATCTTGTATCTTCGAGGGTGTGTGTATATGAATTAAGTATACTTGTGCAAATGCCTGTAAGTTATATTTACCCGTCGCATAAAAAAAGGAAACTGACCTAACTCTATCTCTGTACATATGTAAAATTGTATTTTTCCAAATAACAGGATAGAAATATAAGAATCGTTTAAGTAACCTTTCACAGATTCATTCCCTGAACGTCGTTCAAGTTCAAGACGTTTACCTCTGTTTCCTAAATTATCGACTAGGCATGACGTTTCCATAATCCCTTTAAGCTAATCCGTAATAACAAGAATTTACGGATACCGGGAATCCCCTGATAGCTCAATAGAAATTCTCAGGGTGGGGGTAATCATCATAAAAATAAATGAAACGACCAACGAAAGGCTTCGTATATTTCACTTTATTTAATTAAAATATACAGATTTGAAACGTGATCACACATTTGTTCGAGTTCGCCTCCTTCGACCCTATTTCTTAACCTGAGATAAACCACTATAAATTTTTTGTCGCTCACTACAATGTTTTCCCTGTGATAAATTTTCTTTATTCTCTCTTTCTTTTCACTTCGTCGGTTCTCAGAAAATACTTGGGTTTTCTTCGTGTCCCCCGTTCAACGAATATTAAATCTACAACCGCAACCAGACGGATCCCGTTCGTCCCCTCTGTTAGTCGTTCTCTCTTCTTCTATAATGTAACATCGTTTTCTTCCTCCTCGTGTATATAAATAAACGCTAACAAAGATTTTCTTTAATTCCGTTAATTTGTCTCCTACGAGCGCAATCGTTCTACGTTTTTCTCTTCTACACGTATATAGACCATTTACAATATATACGTGTTTTTCTTTCCTTTTTACATATATGTATGTATGTATGCATGTATATATATACATATATATATATATGCGTTCTATATGGTGTACATATATATGGTATATATGTATATATTTACAAACATACTTTATATATTTATATGTATATACAGTGCCAATTGTATCGCATGCACCAAGAAGAGGATATAAGTTTCTTATAGTCGCTTATATTACTAATATATTTTAATCTATGAAGACATGTAACACTGATTCCCTATTAAAATTAATTAAATATATTTAGTTCGGTTGTTCTCTCTGTTGTAACAGTGAAAAAGGTGTTTGTGTCTTCTTGGTCCATGGTATATGAATACACTTTATACATATACATATATATATATATGTATATATATATATATACATTTAATAAATGGTAACTATTGTAGGCACGTGTCGTTATTCATTATCATACATAATCATAATCATCCGTCTCTCTACGTCTTTGATATAATTTATATTCATTCCCTTTCGCACTCTGTCTACAATGAAACGTAAAAATATAAAAATATCAGTAAACTTATATAAATGTACGCTCTTTAAAGTATACTTCGCTCCATCCGCTTGTTCCAAATAATCTATGGACACAGTAAATTTCCTCACAGCGCTAACTTCGCCTCTATAAAAGCATTCGCGTCGTTCTACTAATAATCATCGTTAATCAAAGAGACTGCATTAAAATTCATGAAATCACGTTGGTAAAAATTCATGATCAATGATCAACAGGTTGCCGTAAAACGCGTAGGTCGCAGATACAAAATTTACTGTCTCCCACGGATCATTCTTCATTATCTCTAACACGTATTTAACAAAACATTCGGCCTAAATTTGTCTTCAAGTACATTCTGCACCACACGGTGCCGACTAATTCGCGGACTCGTTTAAATTATCTTATGTTAATACTACTAGTTGAAAAATCGTTGTCCTAAAAGAAGAAAAGTGAGAGAGGGGTTGTCAGGGCGAGAAGAAAACCAATAGGGCGAGTTTCTACATAATTAACGGTCTAAGCATTGATTATCGAACAATTAGCATTTTGATCACTATGTTGTGTTGATGTTTCTTTTTTTTTCCCCTTTTAAGCGCGCACTTGTTCTGTACATATTATAAACAGACGAACTTGTCAATCATTTGAATTTATTTATCAACCATTTCTTTAAATTTCTCTAAATATAAATCTAAACTTTGTATCGCATAATAGACAGTCGTTTCGTTGCCTCGCATACCGAGCGGCCGCTGTTCCAAGATTCACCGCCGTTAATGTTAAAACGAAGAATTAAATGCTTCGCGATGGTAGCAAAAATTATGTGTCATCACCAAGTCGTTTATAATAGCGAAATACCTACTTGGACTTTGTGCTGTCTCTCTTCGTATAAATTGACATATAAAAAATTTCTCGTGACTCAAAGCGGATCCCCAATGGCCACTCTGTACCGAGCCAAAGCAGATCAGTGATTACGTTTACCTACGTGCTAAATATTTTAACATTTCTTTAATCTTAATCGTAAGCGAACCTGTATCTTTTTAATCGTTTTTTCTTCATTTTTCGCTTAACGACATTTAATTCCCTTCGAAATCAGTTCCTTGCTGAAGACTGCAACACTTATACAGAGGAATCAGTGGGGAAAAAGATAATTTCTACAAATATACATATATGCTCTATCTCTCTCGCGTTCGCTCGCTCGCTTTCTTAGATACAGTCATTCTTTTTTCTTTTGCTACTTCTCAGATTATCACACGTTTTTTATACATACGTTCATGTACTTTCTTGAATTTATTTTTCTGCGATTAACACCTTTATAAGCTAGTCAAACCTTAGAAAGCAGTGAAAAAGAGAAAAAAAAAGGAAGATGAAAAGAAACAAAATGTAAGGAGTCTTTAACGTTCGGCTACCTCGCGAAACGGACGCCATTTTAGAAGCCACAGTAGTTGAGATAAAGTTCAGTGTCGAATACCGAGTGTGATTTAAATAAAACGTTCACTTTGTAAACAGCAGTAGTCGATCAATTGAAAATCAGAACCGTATAAAATTAAAACTGCAATTACACTGTAAAGTGAAAACAAGATTACCAACAACAGTGAAATATTTCGGTGCTTGAAATTCCACGTTTATTTCAACGTACAATTTCCCTTGGCGTGAATATTACTGTTAGTCATTTTTCAAACGTAACATGAAAAACAGTCTGAATGATTCTTTCGTTGCCCAGTTGAATAGTTAAAAAGAAACAGTCAAAAAGAAAGGTGTCAGAGCTGTGATAAAAACAGTGAACGACTGAATATTTTTAACGAATCGATTGGTCCATCAAACGCGACCTACGTATCACCGAAACGTTTGAAAACTTGTTGGGACATGATCTCTTCTGATGCGCCAAAACATGCGCTATACACGTTCCCCGATAAAAATGCAACAGTACATAAATAGAATATCTGAACTAGCGTATCTTCTGCAGAGATAGAAAGCAATATGTGACTAAT